CACCAGTCAGAATGGCTAAAATTAACAAGTCAGGAAATGACAGATGTTGGCGGGGATGCAGAGAAAGGGGAACCCCCCTACACTGTTGGTGGGAGTGCAAGCTGGTGCAACCACTCTGGAAAACAGTATGGAGGTTCCTCAAAAAGTTGAAAATAGCAGGTCTTGTTTTATCAGTTTTCACATTAGTGAATTAAGGTATGCATTATTATTCTTTTAATTTACAATCTTTATATTATTTCCCATGAAATAGAATAAAGGGAATGTTTCCTGTGCTAAGAAGAATTCCTAAATATAGAGAATCAATATAATTATTAAGAGAAACAGAGAAAAAGGATTGTTTCTCTCTTTCCCACATCCTAAACCCACTGCATTACTCTGTCTTGTTATTCTCTTTCCCCTCTCTATGTGGTCTTTGCTAGTTTACTAAACCATCCTGACTTTGTTTTGATTAAGTTTACTCATTTTAAAATCAGACTTCAGAGTATCCTGTCTACATTTTAGAAATAGGATAGGAAGGAGACATCACTGCAATTCAATTCTATCCATGAGTACTAAGTGAGGATTCCTACAGACTAGACCTTGTGAGGTGATGGGAGGGAAGAAGAAACCATTGTCCCTATCCTGAACAAGCAGGCGGTCCAGTTAGGATAATTACTCAAATGCCCACTGCATGCAGGAAGATGAGTGTCAAAAGAGATCTGAAAACAAAGAGATCCCACAACCTGAACTAGGAGGAGACTTCAAAAGAATAGGGGCTTGAGGTGTATATAGAAAAAATGTGCAGAGTTGGATACGAAGAGTAAAGATGCCTGAAAGTGCCCTAGACAGAGGGGTGTACATGAGCAGCCACAGAGGAACAGATGTACATGGCATGTTCTAGGGACAATATGACTTGCTTGACTGACAGAGGACTTAAGGCAGAGAGCAGTGGGAAATAAGGCCTCGTGGTTCAGGTGGGGTGATAAGGATGATGCACTAAACCAAGACCAGTAACTTGATTAGACATTGAATGAAATGTGCTGCAATATCAGATTGTGGAGGCATCTCAGCCAAATAAAAATGAGTTCTCTGTAATCCACTATTGATTTACCCATACCACTCTTTATTATCATGAGTATAGAGAATTGGATATATTAGGGGGAAAACTTAGGGAATTTTTCCTTAAATTTTCACATAATATATTGTTTCACATTGAAAAATGAAGGTGTGGCGCCTGGGTGGCTTTATCAGTTGAGTGTCCAACTCTTGATTTCAGCTCAGGTCTTGATCTCCGGGTCGTGAGTTCGAGCCCCCGTGTTGGGCTCCATGCTGGGCATGGAGCCTACTTAAGTTAAAAAAAAAAAAAAAATGAAGGTAATATATATGCATTGAACAAATACAGAAATGACGCAAAACAAAAATGCTGAACTTTTTAAAGAGTTGTTTGTTTAATAAGTTTTTAGCATACTACAATGATGACACCTCATGAAAACATATGAGTGTTCAAAGCTAGGCTAGTGAAAATTTAATTTGCTGTTTAAAGAGGTTCGGATAAAGTTATGGAAATGTATTAGATTAATGACCAAATCTATTTTTAAAAGATGAAAAGTAGATTATGTTGCTATGATTTTTATTATGATCTATTTCTGAAAAGAGAAAAGAATAGGCAACTTAATTAAATAAATAGAAGTAACTTTCTTAGCTGTTCTCTTCATACATGTGTACAACTGTGAAGACACTGGAAGAGCATGACCTCCCATATTTCTTTCATACCTTGTTGTAGAATCCAGTTTGACCCTATTCCTCAGTTCCACAAGAACTGGCTGAGACAGGATTCAAAAAACAAAAGACAGTGCTTATTGCATAGTTTGATTTCTGTATTCACTCGGTGAAAATTTGAAAGAAAGGGCAGAGATCCTGGTAACAGGAATCAGTGGATGAACTGGCCCTGGGGATGACAGTCCTCCTGCCTGTGTCTTTACTAGTTCTGCTAGTTTGTTTTTTTTTGCTTTGTGTGCTTTTTTTATTCATTTATATGCAAAAGTCAGCCAAATACAAAAGGCAACAATCCTGGTAATACCAAATAACACTCATGACTGAAAAAAATTATCAAGAAAGTGCCATGAATGCTGTCTGGGAAAAATAAAATAGTTTATGTCCCCAAATTTGGTCTGCATATTTTTAAGTTTCCGTTTACATAGCAGACTAGTTTAAGATAACAAGTAAAAGATGATCCTGTTTCTCTCACAAGTGGTTCACAATGGTCACTATTTCATTATCAAAATATTAGAACTCAGCAGGGAAGCAGAACTGCATTAACCCAACGTTCTTGAATGTTGGGAGGTGAGTCATTTCACTGATTCATTTCCTTTTATGTGGAAAATCTATTGGGATATTGATGACTTATGCAGATGTGATTTTTTTTAAGATAGTTGATTTTACTACCTATACTTGCCAATTAATTTTCAGAATATTGTTTCTAATTGTCAGAAGCCCAGCAAAATAAAAGGTGATAGTTATATCACATTTCTTAGCCACTATAGGAGGCAGATGTGCAATGCAGTTCTCTTTGCCTATTTTCATGCCACACCCTCTCTTTTGGCCCTTAACCCATATTTAGGGGGGACACAGTGAAGGCAGCTATACTTATAAAGATTACCTTGTCATGATGATTCACAGTCAAATCTTTATTAACCAGGGGCTCCCAGTTCTTTCTGAGATCCATTTCTCTTGCTTATCATAATGCTGCGATCAAAATGGGTTGCAAAAATCTACCTCTCCACCTAGCAGTAGTTTCCTAAGTTCTTAAGACTTTATCTCAAATTCTTCATAAGAAATGTTTGGAAAGTCAGTTAAATCACCAATTATTTCTTCACTGCATGCAGAGAAATACACAATTAAATATTTTAAATTCTTTGAAACTTCTATTGTCGTATTACAAATACGCAATGAGAAGGTTTAGTAAGTTAATGTTACCAAAGTCAAGTAAAAGAGATTTAAAAAATTACATTCCTTTATGTATAAGGGAATAATTATAGTTCGGGCACCTGTGTTAATAAGTAATGTAGTTTCTTTGCATTAATAAGATATGGCATATTGACCGAAACTCTTAAAGGTAGAATGCAAAAACCAAGCCATTAAGATCTGAAGAAATACTAACCTTAACTCCGCTGTAATTTAGACCTGTCAACAAAATTATCAGGATAGCAATTTTAGAGATAATATTCTAGGTATGGCCTACAGTGTTCTACTTGTATTTAATGAAAATGTGCTTTTTTAAGCAATCAAGTATTTGCCCTAAGTTCTACTTCAGGATGTTTGTATTTGTTCAACTAAAAAGTTAAAGTCAAGCATTCAATTTCAATGGGACTTGAGACAAGCATACAATTAGGGATTTGGAAATAGCTGTGTACCTAATGAAGATTAGGGAAATCATTTACTACTACATGAAAGTCAGTTTAAATGCTTTGTTCTCATTTTTTATTCCCATAAATGCATGTTTCCTAGAAGTATAGGATGATATATGCAAGTTTTACTCATTGAATTTACCTTTACAGGTAAATAGATGCTCTTTTCTCTCTGAAGATCATGTTACGTACTCTATGAAGGAAGTTCCTATGAAAAAGAAATCACCCAAATGGACTCCCACAGTTACTCTCTTCCATATTCCTGGCCAAATCAAAAGTACGTATGCCTCCTCCCTGGAAAGTAGCCATTCAGGGTATCAAAGGAAGTACTGTGCCATAGACCAGAGCACAGGATTTTTGCATCTAGCAATCATTTAATAAATGGTTGTTGAAATCTTATATAAAAATCTTTGCATTCCCACTATGTGACCAAAATGATTAGTTCCATTTTTTCACATACTTAGCCATAGAAAATAACAGTAGCTAAAGTCACTGCTACACTGGATATTCATTTCTCCCTGAGTAGATTGCCATATCTACTTATTTGCCCACTAAAAACTTGAGTTATCATCTAACAACCTGATGATTATATAACAATCACCAATGATTATTTCGTCTCTATATGCACCTTGGAAAATAATTCATTGTCCTATAACAAAAAATAAAAATTTGTTTGAAGACAAAAAATACTACCAAGTAAAATAGTTCATTTGGAAATATTTTTTAAATTATTATTATTATTTAATATTTGATGCTTTATAGGTACAAATTCGTTCTGAAGCAATGCTTGTGGAACTTTTAATTTTAAAACTTCAACTGAATAATTGACATCAAAATTGTTCAGCTGTGTTATACTTTCTCTTCTTATAAGAGAAAAACATTGCTTATAGACAGGCCCCCCACAAAATTTTGTAGATTGAGAGATCATCTCCCAATTGTTTCAGTCTTTGTCAGATTTGGCTTATGAGTGCTCTAACTTTGTAGATATAAGGGAGGTAGAAGATATCTGTGTATAAAGTATTATTCAAGCAAACAAGGTCTTTCTTTAAGTTTATGCATTTCAATACACATGGGTGTTGTTCTTAAAAATATGAAATCAAAGTTGAAAGATTTGATCCATCAAAATGTGCTGATAAATGATATAGGGATAAATGCAAATTTCATGGTCAATACCAAAAGACAAAAAAAAAAAGTCCTCTGCCATTGTTCATGTTTTATCTATTTTTTAAAAAACCACAGAAGGAAAAATACTCTAGGGAAAAAAAAATGAAGCTTTACTGCAAAAGAAATGAATGCAAGAAATGGCACTTTAAGTAGTGAAGAGACGTGAAGCATTGCAACTTCATAGCCTGCTAAGGAGCAACAGCTGTACCTAATTTCAACTTGACGTGCTTCAGATCTCATATTCATATAGGTATTTAATGATCCAAACATAATGGTCCTATATAGAATAATTACTTATATGAAGGAGCAAACTTCATACGCATTCCTTTTTAAATGATCCTTCAAGAGAAAAACTGCGCTGGCTCTTTGAACAATGAGTAATCTCTTTCACCAATCCAAACGTTTGGGGCTAAAAAGCTTATCTTTTATGAGAAAATAATAATAGTGGTGAGGTTACTTCTTTTTGACAGACTCTTTTTGTCTCCCCTCTTCCCAAGATAGCCAGTACAATGAAAAAAGGTAGAATGCCAGGCCAATCATTAAGTCATACTGGTAGATGGTTACAAGAAATATGACAAACAAAAGGACATACGGTACTTTAGAGTTGGTGTATTTCGAAAGCAGAGATTGGTTGCTTTCAGTTTGACCTTCCTGGGCAGGGAGACTAGCAGAAGCAGAGCTCTCGGATTCCTTGTCACCTGAAGAGCCCAGTGATTGTCCAGACGCTAATCCTTCATTTTCATGCCTGGCCTCTTCCACGGTCTCAATAACTTCACTGACAAAAATCGTTGGCTGTAGAGATTTTTCCACACCGTGTTCTCCTTGTTGAAAAATCTGGCTTTTAAATCTTTCTCTGCTACTACCTGAGGTCTCTGTTCCTGAACTTTTGGAAACTTCTCCAGGTATAGACCCAAGATGAGGGTGCTTCTCAATACCCTGGATTTCACTTGTTGGATTACAATTATATTCTGATTTAGTAGAAATAGATTGGAGAGTCATGGTAGTAATTATATTCTCTACAGCAATTGCCTGTTCATGAGATGGCACTGAGGTTTTAGCATGGTGATTGGAAACGTGAGAGACATTCTGAGAAGCTCTGTTAGTGTCTGAGTTTAAAGTAGAATGAATAATAGCATCTCTGTCTGTTTTCTTTGATAATTCTTGGACCTGTTTATCATCTCTATTTTCTGGAAATGTTTTTTTGTCTTTTGGTAACATTCCCAAATGTAAATCCAGTTCTGAGGCTGCTTTTTGATTGCCTGTAATGACCTGGAAGGATTCTTCTACAGATGTGATATTTCCAATGCCACGTTTCTTCCTGTCATGTGTCTTCCCGGGATTGTACATAGATATGGTTTCTTCTTTCTCCATTTCATCTACATGTACATTACAAATACCTAAACGTGATTCCTTTTCAAAATCATTGTCATAGATTACACCTCCTGTATCTCGTTGACAAAGGGTATAATGTGAATCATCATTTCCCCCTTCATGTGGATCAAACGCTGTTTCCTTTACCTCGATGGGCCTGTCACTTCGTGCTGTCTCTTGAGGTAGCTTAGCAATTATTGCTTTTTCTCTAGCAGACATGCTTTCTAGAGCACTTTCTGATGTTGTCTTAATTATATAAGCTGTACCTGCTTCTGCTTTCTCAGTAACACCATGATCAGCTAGAGAAGACAGTTCACAGCTCACTGTTTCTTGGCAGGTAAACAATTCTTCCGTAGGAGTAGCTTTCAAATTCCTTGTATTATCTCTTTTTCCCCACATGTCTTCACAAGCAGATTGTTCCTTGTTCTGTTCTGTTCTATATGTCTTACTCTCTCTTGCTTTTCTCTGACTTTCTAGAACATTCCAACTTTGTTTCTGTTGTGCATTCTTATTCTGATCCTCAGGATTAATCCAATCTGATTTTTCTTCTTCAACTTGGAAAAGACAATCATTCCTCAAAACATTTCCACTTCTTGGTGAACAAACTTGACCAGGCATCCCTCGTAAAGTAGTGCCTTCACTAGTCAAGAGATCATGCTCTGGAGTTGTTAACACAGCGTTTTCCCAACTTAGACTTATCCTTGGTGAATGAAACATATCTGCTGTGATTGCCTGGTCGGGAATTGTGGTATCTTTACTCAGCAGGACAGTTAGGTCTCTGTTGCTAGTTTCTGTTCCTTCCATACTGATTTCAGACTGGCCCATCTTCCTTTCTTGGTCATGTAAGAATGAATGAAAATTTTTGCTTTGTTTTACATTAACACCTAAATGTATTCTTTGCTCCTCCTCCTCAGTCTTACCATTACCATAATCTTTCTTAGAAGATCCTTTTTCCATTGATTCTTCTGAATGCAAATCCAAATTGAAATCTCCTCTTAAACATTCCCAATCTCTTATTTCAATTTTCTCAGCTCTTCCTTCATGTTTTTTATTAAGGTTGTCTGCGACTAGTTGATCTGAGGAAGGACTAGATATTTGCACTCTGCCTCTCCCTTCTGCTGGATTAGCATTATTATCCAGTACTTCTTTGCCCCCAATGTGTAATTGCACTAATTCACCACTACTAGTATATCCCAATGGTGGCTTGATTTCTCCTATATCTGAAGTAATTTCCTCTGAAGGTTGATGTCTATACTTATTTTCTGAGGAATATTCTTCTTTGCAGTAAAAATCTCCCTTTAAGGAGCTTTCTGCTGATGAACTTGGAGACAAAGGCCTTTTAAACAAGTCAGGGTGTACTTCACCATGGATTTGCTTCTTCTCTAACCCCTCAGCTTTATTTGGAAAATTGACCGGATCTATTGCAAATGTATTCTTTTCATCTCTGGAAGCAGTACTTCTTATTAAGCATTGATTTATCTTAAGGGATAAAAAACAAAACAAAACAGATAATGATCAAATGATTTTAAATATACAAAATGAATTAGATTTCATTAGTGGGGCTAGCAATTAACTGGTAGATTTCCTTGATTCATTTCGTTTGTGGATTTTGTATAAATTCTGAAAGCCGGATGTTTTGGGGGGATCGTTTTAGGCTATGACTTGGGAATGAGATTAATAAGAAAAGGGACCAAAATTAATCACTCTCCTTCCCAGTTTCCAAATATCACATTGTATTATTCAACTATTCTTGCTTGTCATTGCACTTTCTCCTCACTTAGGTTATACACATTGATAGCTCCATGCTAATCAATTAGAGAGCAGCTTCCTGGGTGCCCCTTGCTGCATTTACACTTGCTATAGGTGCCCCTATTACAGTTTCTCTTATTAATATGTTTTCTGCAAAGCCTCTGCAAACTATTAATAGCAAAACGTCACTCAAAGAAAAGTGAGGGAGTTAATGTCTGCAAATTCTGTTTTAATGACCCTCTGCCAACTGGTACTCAAATGTATTTGAGCTCTTCAGTGATGCCAACTGTCAGGATTTAACAGTGAGATGCCTGTGGTTTTTTTTTTTTTCCTCCTTATAACTGACATTTGCATGATCTCAATAATTATATGCAAATCTTACGTTTTCCCCTTCTTCTCACATAAGGCTCATGTTACTTGTCAACTGCACAGCTGTCTTGTAAGCCAATGCCTGTGGGTTCCACAGATTTGGTTGTATTTCCATCTATTATAGAGCTTCATTGTTTTATGCATTAACGTCAGCATGGAGCAAATTAGCATCTAAATTACAGCTCCCTGTTCATTTATTGGATGTACAATCTCAGTAACTTCTAAACAAACTTTTATATTTGAGCCTGCTCATTGTAATGAGGTGTATTGGTGAAGCATGTGATTTTTCAGGGCCCTTTCATTATATTCTGTGGTTTGAAAAAAAATGGTGATGTTAACTTTCAGCTGGTGAGAATTCTCACAATGGGTGACAACTTTGTAGTTTCTTAAAGTTGGAGCAAAGTAAATTGCATACTTTAGTGATGCAGCTTCCATATCACTATAGAAAAGGTGGAAAACGTGGGGAAAGAGATGAGCTCTATTTCTTTTCTGTTTCAGCACTGACACTTGAAGAGGAAATGTCATTTTAATCTTCGATGATTATGAATCCATGTATCCTAATGATATGAGCTCCAGCCAAACACAGTAAAGGATAAATTGCATTATGTGACTCATTTACTCCCATTTCTTCCTTTGTGATAAAAATGCTATCTAAACCATCCCCCCAAAAATTCCAAATAGATTGAATGTTCACCAAGTGTGAAATTTATGATAACAAATTTAATACTAAATTGTACAGTACTGAATTTGTTTCCTGTTTAAAAAATATAGCACAGGCTATTTTCTCCTCATTCGGTAATTTAATACTTTCCAATGATACAGAACTGTGAGATTCTCACAAAGATGGAAGTAAGTTTTTAAAAAATGCTGCTAAATGCAAGAATCAGACTTGAAAAGCTGGACAGACTCTAACAACCATCTAGCCCAGCCCTCTCATTTTACAGACGAGTTTATGCTAAGTGTACACTTGTCACAAAGATTAGAAATGCACATCAGGATAGTGCTACCTCTTCTATAATTCCTACAAACTATTACTCAGAGCCGCTGGTGAAGAGATAAGAAATGAATGTCATTAATTTACCACTGCAGAGACCAGAAGCAACATACTGAAATCAAAGTGCCTTGTTGATCAAGCTAGAGATGCAAGGTCAGAATAGGCATGCTTTCACATTTGCCAATTATATTAGTTGAAACTATTGAAAGGCAGGCATTGCAGCATCTTTGAAGCATAAATGGATTCATCGTCTGTAATACCGTGGCAACCAGAACACTTACCATCAACTCTAATTCTTTTTCATTATGTTCATCATGTTCCCTGTTTACATCTTTTACATTTCGATTACTGGTTTCCAAGGCTGCCTTGTCCTCATGAGAACAAACAATTGTTGGGATATAGGTATCTGCAAAGTTAATACAATTGTGTCTGTGTAAGATTGTTATCATTGTAGGCTTTAACAAAAGACACAGATTTTGTTTAAAAATTAAATTGAAAAAATCAAATAAAAATATTACCTGTAATCTTTGAATTCTCAAAGTTATTCTCGCCTGATGTTACTAATGATTCTTCTTTACTGTCAAATTTAAAACAAAATGTTATAAATGTTTTCTTAGACTACCTCTTCTAAGTATTTTTGTACAGGGGAAAATTCAAACAAATAACAAGCCAAATAAATATTATATAACCTTTCATATTTTCTCATATTACTTGGTATGCTTTTTAAATAAAATTGATCTCTTAGAATAATTCAATAGTAAATTACTAGTAGTAGAAAAATTTTAAAATAATTTCCACAATGCCATATTTCTAAATAAGATTTGTTACCTATATTTAAAACTTACATAACCAAAGTAAAAATATATGTAAATGTTGATTAGTCCATCATTCATGAATTTAGTCTTTGCAAGTGAGAACATTTTTCTGTTGGTTTAAATGATAAAGTTTTATGAACTGACAGTCCATTTGTGGTCGTGGAAATTGCTTTTTAACGTTCCAATTATTAATTTTTTTTGTGTTCCATTTTATTCAAAATTCTTTCAGCTGGGTGGATATAACATTAACTCTCTCTCTCCAAGAAAGGAGAAATAAACAAACTTACTAAAAACTGAAAGGCAGCTAAATTTATACTCAGTTCAAAGACTTTATGTGTGTATTACCACAGGCTAATTTTACAACCAAGACTTCAGATTGCTCATATGAAAGCATGTGTTTTCTTTCTTTAAAATGATTTGGGTTATACTTCCTTTATGATAATTTTCTGCATAGTGATTAAGGAAGATAAATATATTTTTCTTTCAAATGTACTCTACTTATAGGTTTATGTGTGGCATCATTAAAATTTAGATTTGTCCATGAGACTCAGCAAGAAAAATGTTAGTGAAAAAGCTCACTTTGTGTATAGTTATGTCACAAGTCAATCTATCAGAAATGATTGGCCCAGTGTCCACATTTTCTTGTATTGTCTCGGCTGAATTTTCTTATAATGACTTTTCTCAATGACTTTTTTTCTCCAATAAAATGCATCTAGAGAGTTGGCAATTGCTGAGAAAGTTGTGTAATGGAGTCTACTCTTCATTGCATGGATAATGTTGATCCAAATCCCAGGAAAGCCCATCTTTTTTCAACAAATCATGAGAAAACTAGCAAATTCTTCCATCTGGACTACACAAGAAGGTAATTCAGTTTTGTTTATATTTATATGTTTAATTTAACTTTACCAAAAATATTTGGTATTTTCCAGTGGGTCCATGAAAGAAAATAATGTTTCTACATACATAAAATATCATTGGAAAAATACAGTATTTACATAATTGATACTGAATCTATAAATCTGTATTGTTTAATGAGGCCAATAACTATGCAAAGATTTATTTTTGTGGAATCTAACTGCAAGTTGGTGCATTTTTCCTTCTCCAAATACATGATATATAGGAGCTTAAAAATATATAAACCATTAAACATCATTTAGTTGTTCCTGCTTCCTCTTTACCTGCATAACAGTGTTGAAAATCTCATTTGTAGAAGGAAAACCATAGCCATTTAAGCCTTCTGTTTTTGACTAACCAAAATGCTATCAATCATTTTTCTAACTTAATTCTCTAAGGTACTTCAATTTTTAAAAAAGTATTGCATCAAAAGGAAATAAATCTGCTTTTAACTAATTTGGGGGACAAAAAATTAGGTACTAAACTGTATTATTATATTGGTGTCTTATAAAACATGTAAATACATAAATATAGGAGAGAAATCTTAGATTCAGGGATAAATACAAGAAAGAGAAGCTGAAATACATGAAATTTAAATATTATACCAAATATCTATGAAGAAAAATAATAGAAGATGTGTAAGATTCCTACAAGGAAAACAATAAAGTTGTATCAAGAAATACTAAAAACCGGGGGGCGGAACAAGATGGCGGAGGAGTAGGAGACCTGGATTTGGTCTGGTCTCAGGAATTCAGCTGGATAGGGATCAAACCATTCTGAACACCTACAAACTCAA